ATGTTTTGTTTGTAAAAGAATTGTAATTAAAAAGTTTTGTATTTTCTGATGTCCTTCTTTGTAATTTAAATATATATTTTGCCTTTGGGGCTAGCATATAAAGTCATTGAGTTGATATCGTTAAGGAATAATTTGTGAGGAATCCCCGGTTCTTCTTGTAACGCTCATCCTGGGTAAAGTCTATGAACCTTCACACACACACCTGGCTTTAGCTCTCAACTGTGACCCGGTGATTTCCGAGTCTCTATTTCTGGCCCATACTATCCTCTGCATTCTAGACCCAAATGAAGTGTCCTTCCACTGGATCTTGTGCTGGCATCTTTCATGTGGCAAATGACAGAAAGTGTTTCACCTTTGTCTTAACACATTTCTTTTTCTGAATTCCCATTCTGGTTAAGAACATCGCTACGAACACAATTGCTGAAACAGTTCTTTAGACATTTGTAAACACCTTCTCCTCTCCCCTCCCACCTAAAGATACAAAAGTCTTACCATCTTTACTTCTTAAATATTCCCTGGATCCTTCTTTTTGTCGCCTGGCAATAGTGTGAAGAGACCTATGTCTCTTGCCTGGACATGGATCATTACCTGGATTCCTTGACTGTAATTTTATTCTCTCTAATCTACTCCAATGGGTGTTATCAAAGTAATCTTCAAACCACACACATCTGAGCTGATTGCTTCCAGAGTTTTTAGCTGGCGTGTGAGATGTCTCTGGTCTGCCTTTCCTGCTGGGTTCGTCCCCATTTCCGCTCAGGTTCCAGGGACTTGCAGTGGCCTGCACACTCCTGCCCTTTGCATGCTGCGGGCCTTTGCACATGCTGTTTCCTGGTTTTTATTAACTCATTTATTTTTGCTCGTTTTGTTCTGTATTGTTCACAGGAAGAACTGCTCTGTACCGTTTAGGAATCACTCCCTCCGATTGTGGTAACTTGGATGAACCTGGGGAACATAATGCTAAGCGCAGTAAGCTGGCCTCCGAGAGGCATGCCCGTGCAGTCTCATTCCTGTGTGGAATCTGAGAAAAGTCAGACTCGTAGAACTGGAGGCTTTCAAGGTGGAGACTCTGGAGTGATGAGGAAATGGAGATATATTGGTCAGAGGGAAGAAAGGCTCAATTATAAAATGAATCAGTTTTTTGGGATATGTGGTACAGCATTATGACAATAATTAATAATGCTATGTTGTTTCCTGGAAATTTGCTAGAAGTGGATCTTCAATGTCTTCACAACACACACACACACACACACACACACACCAAGGGGAACAATGTGTTGTGGTATATGTATTGATTAATCTGATTGTAGCCATCATTTCACAGTGATGCATATATCAGAGCACCTTGAATACACACAATTTTTATTTGTCAGTTGTATCTCAGTAAAGCTGAAAAAAAATTCACCTTCTGTGATAAATTTTCTTTAGTCCCGTCAAGCTGAAGGACTTTCCTCTGTGCTGTGACCATTTAACTTCCCATATCCATTTGTTTCTTTGGCTCCTCTTCTGATCTCTGAGCTCTTTGGGTTTCCACCATTTCACAAACTGCAGAGGCTCTGATCTGTAGCACAGGCCCAATAATATTTGTTGAATGAATGGTTGAATTAATTAACTGATAGCTTAGAGCTCTCCTTTTTTATATTTTGTGATCTTTAAAATCCCTAAATACATTTTGTTTTCTTGCCAGGGTTAAAACTCATATGTTACTTCTCTACCCACTTGCACAGACTTGTAAGGTCTTTTTAAATCCCATCTGTGTGTTTCTTCATCAGCTGGAAGCATTTAATGTCTTCTTAACTTGGAACTCTCATGTGAATTCTTTCTTGTGGACCATTTAAAAAAAGATATTAAATCAGTATCAATTCTTGAAGAGCTGCATTCTTTATGTTTCTTTATCCAAAGAAATCCCTAATTAACCGTAGCATTTAATTTCAATTTTAACCTGGTTTAAAATTTTAGGGTGAATACGTGTAGGTAACCTATGAACCTTTGACTCCATGATGTCATCAGTTAAAACAGCGTAGAACAACCACAGACCCCTACGGCAGCCTTTTGTTTTGGTGTTTCCCCCATTTAACTATGTGCCTGTTTACTGCATTCAGTTTATCGCGTGTGTTGTCCTTTGGCCGAGTTGGTCTTGCCTTCTCAATTTTCCTTTCCTAACCTCTACAACCTGTCCTCTAAGTTACACTAATGAACGCAGAGCTCTGACGCTGTGAGGAATATGAAAATCACTGTTTGGGGGATACAAAAATAGTACACCAACTTGGACAAATTTAAGGAATACAGTAGTTCCACATTCTTTCTATGATTTTTTTTTTCTTTTCCCACATATAATCCATTTCTGTTGTGCTATGTACTCAATCTGATAAGAGGGTTGGCAGTTGTATCATTAACCCCATTTTTACTGAAAGAGCAGGTGACTTATCCAGCTCACGGTGCTAATGATCAAGTCGAAACTGGAACCCAAAGTGGAACTATAAGGGGGGGAGGTTGTAGCAAGCTAAGAAAACCACAGAGCATCTTTTCTTTGGTAATTAGTGAGTGTGAACAACGGGTTGACAATTCTAACTGTCCTCCCTACATTTTGTAAAGAAGTTAATTTCCCCCAAAGCCAGTATGAAGTAGCAGACAGCCTTTATTTTCAGATGGGAAGGAACTGAAAATACAGTAGCACAAGCCGTTTATTAACCTCAGGCAACATTATACGGAGTAACAGAGTCTCCTGAGAAAAGCATAGGGTTTGTAGTAAGAAGACGTGGGTTTATACCTCAGCTCTCTTACCAATCTCTTCATCTCCTTACACTAAATTCCTGTTTAGTTAAAGTGGGGCTGATAATACCAGCCTCATTCCCATAAAAGGTATAGTGATGATCAACAAGATACTATTTCATATACAGAAACTCATTACAAGCTACATGATTTTAAACAAATACAAGTCGTCTTTCTTGTATAGAAAATAAGGAAATCCTTTGTATGTAGGAAAAAGTATTACATAGTTGTAATGTGATCCCGGTAGCCTGAGATCAGTGCTAAACACTCAGCCATAGGCCTCGTCACAGCAGGTGGCTCCCAGAGAGCCGGTCACGAGGATGGGCCAAGCTCTTGGCTTGTCCAGGCAGGCAGGTTGTGCCTGTGCTCCCCTTGGCTTGCCATTTGGCAGGAGGGGTGGGGGCAACATGCTCTTCTCCCATTTTACAGGTGAGTAAACAGAGGCATGCAGATACTTGTCCCAGACATCACCATCAGTAGAGGAATCAAGGATCAGAGAATCACATTGACTTGGGTTATGGTACAAGAACTGCCAACATCTAGCTCTTCTACATCTTCCTTGGCTGAGGAACTTGGCTCCTTGAAACCCCAGTTTTCTCATTTTAAAAATGGGAATACTCACATCTATCATGAGTTTTTATGAAGATTATAGGAGACATTATGAATTACATCATGAATTTTTACAATAATTTGTACAATTTGTACGATATTACATTATGAATTACATCAACATGTTCTTTGAGTTAGCTTTTTTCTTTTTTTAAAAATAAACTTTTTATTGGGGAATAATTTTACATTTAAAGAAAAGTTTCAAATCTAGTACAGAGTTCCCATCTACCTTTTCTCTATTGTTAATACTACATTTTAACATTTGACACACAATAAAACGAACATTGAAATTAACTATTAACTGTTAACTGTTAATATTAACTATTTGGGTTTCACCGGCTTTTCATGGATATATTTTCCTGTTCCAGGATCTAGTTCGGGGTCCACATTGCATTTAGTTCTGTCTCCTCTTGTCTGATGGTTTATTCATCAATCTTTTTGTTTCTCTGGACCTTAATGATCTTGAAGATACCCAGGTATCATGTCAGGTGTTCCCCAGTCTGGTTTTGTTTCTTGTTTTTCTCATGATCCTCTGGGGTTGTGGATTTCTGGAGAGAAGCACAGACATAGCATCCTTCTCCTGTCACTATGTGAAGACATGCATGGTACCCATGGGACATCACCTTTGATGTCAGCCTTCATCATTTGAGTAAGGTAGAGCTTGCTAGGTTTTTTTTTTCCTTTGTATCTTGAGCTTGTTTTGATTACCTATTACTTAGACTTAGGACTTTCTCTTCCCTCTCTTCTCTCTGATTGTCATGCGATACATTTCAATTTACTGCAAATTATCATCTCTGTGGAAATACCTTTTCCAACCACTTAAGTTAAAGCAGCATTTGCCACTCAAGTCAATCTCTGTGACATTTTACTTTTGTGTTTTCTTCATAACAATTATTATTATAGTTTATGGTTTGTATATAGGCCCTGCTACCTGCCCCCCACCTCAAATCTATATGCTCTAGAAGAACGAGATGCTTGTAGGATTATTCACATATGTACACTAAGAGTCCAGCACAAGGGCTAGCATCTGCTAAGTAACCATGTGTCAAATAAATGTCAAGGAAAGAATGACAACAGGATTAATTTATTAGGATCTCTGAAAAAGAGCAAAAAATCAGCTAAATGGTGAGAAGTTTAATTTAGTGTTGTTATCTCAATTGGTCTAGTTTTAATGAAAATGTTAAATGCAATTATCAACATCTACAGAAAAGGGTAATTAGCATCCTTGTAATTCAAGCTCTCTCATAATACTTAATAATGTGAATGCCAGAATATTTTAGCTTTCAATTCAAGCTCCCTTATTATACTTAATAATGTGAATGCCGGCATATTTTAGTGACTTACAAGGATCTGATTGACAAGTATAAGATCTACTCAGGTTTTACACATTTGCACCATTGTGACCTTTCCTTGCAAACTGACTCAGCTTTCCTATTGTAGAACTTTTAACAAAATCCGAAGCAATGTAGAAATAATTGATGCCCTTGATTTTAACTTCTAGCTGACTTCTTAGTGTTTATATCTTTTCATGTATACTGACAGAAAAAAAATGAAGATTCTTTGTGTAATTCTTTCTCTCATATCCCATTGTAAGAAACCACTTTTTTAATTTCCTTTCTCAGGACTTAAAATCTCCAGTTCAGAGGGATGAAATTGCAGGAGCCCGGGCCTCATTGAAGGAGAACTCCCCCCTCTTGCATTCAATTTGTTCAGCTTGTTTGGAGCATTCCGATGTTGCTTCCCTCAAAGCCAGCAAGGACACAGTTTGCGGAGAAATTCAGAATGCCCTCAATGTAATTTCAAATGCTTCCCAAGGCATCCAGAGTGTGCCAGCCTCCCCAGAACCTCAGGCAGCAACCCTGGGAAGTGCCCTTGATGAGCTGGAGGTAAGTGGAGAGAATGACAAAACGTGATGTGATCCAGGATGAAAACAAAGAAAGTAAGATCCACGTGTTGGCCTTTAGAGCGTGAGAAATAAAAACCCAATTATTCAGTCAGCCTCCAATATTGATACCGTTTGCATCTTTCAATGAATTGATTAGCAGAAAAATATTCTATGAGTAGACTTCTGATTCTTTCACTCCTCTGCTGAGAAAGCTAATGAATATGAATTGGGATTGTTAATTACATTGAAGTGATGACCATGAAACACAGGTCAATATAGGAAACGTAGGATTTAGTCATCCTGCAAATAATTAGTATTGGCATTGTGTTCTATGTGCTTCAGACACATCTGATCACTGATTTTCACAAAATCTTACCTTTTCTCAGGGGACTATAGGCAAAAACAAAGACAATAAACATTGTAGATAATTAATTATATACTGTATGACATTGAGAAGGCAAGATGTTATCAAAGGCTTGATAGGAGGTTAGGGAATTGCAGACAGCAATCTAGAGCAAAGGCTGGAGGGCACGTCCTCTGCATCTACGTGGGAAGCCAGGGTGCCTGAGCGAGTGATAGGAGCTGAGGTTAGAGAGCTACTGAGCCCAGGTTATAAAGGGCTGTGTAGGTTTTAAAGACTTCGGCTTTTTCTCCAAGTTAAATGGCCATCTATTATAAAGTTTCAACCAAGGGCACGACATGCTGACTGACACCTGTGTCTTAGAAGGACTACGTTGATTGCATGTGGATCATAGACTGAAGGGGGCCAAGGGAAGAAGCCAAAAAATGAGGAAAGAGGCTATTGCAGTAATCTAGGTTCCAACGTTACATTTGTACATGCTACACCTGATTCTACCTCATGGTTTAGTTTGAACCAGGGTGGTGTTGGTTAAATTGCATAAGTGGAATCAACTGAATTTCGACAGAATGAATGTGGGACATGTAAAAAAGGAAGGAGTCGTGCTTGGGGGTGCATGTTGTGTCCTCCAGAGTCACACACAGGTAGAGTTGGGAAAGCAGGTTCTATCTGGGCCAGGATGAGGGAAGGAGCAGGATTGGGCAGAGGAAAAAGTCTCCCTGAGAGGCAGACCCTCAAGGCCTGGCCCAATCAGCAGGGAGTTCTGGAGAGAGGATTGCCCTCCAGGTATACTTTGGCAGAAATGGCCAGGCCTTTATGCCTCTTTCAGTGGCCAGATGCAGGTTACTCTGTCTTAGGAAGTATATGAGCCCTGGGGTGTGAGGTGAAATTTGCTGGAGTAGATGAATAGGATCTTACAGGTTGGGGATCCCATATCCAAAATGCTTTGGGCCAGAGTATTTTGGATTTTCAAATTTGGAATATTTGCATATAAGTAATGAGATATCTTGGGGACAAGATCCAAGTCTAAACACAAAATTCGTTTCTGTTTCATGTATACATTATAGACACAGTCTGAAGGTAATTTTACAACAGTTTTAATAATTGTGTGTATGTAACAAAGTTTTATGTGCATTTTAACTGTGACCTGTCACGTGAGTTAGGCGAGAGTTTTTCCCTTGTGGCATCAGCCACATTCTATATTCTTAGGATCACAAAGAAGAAAGACATTTACAAATTGTTCCTTCTTGCGAGACTTCTTTTCCTTTCTCTCTTTAGTTGAAAGTGACTTAGAGGCAAGAATGGCAGCGGTTGGGGAGAAGAGACAGTGTGTGTGTGTGTCCATGCATCTGTGTATGTGTATGTCAGTGTAGCTTCATAGGGATAGGTTTGGGCATTGAAAAGGGCATAGGTCTCAAATGAGGTCCTTTACATGGCAGACTGACTTCTGAACAAGGGAGCAGGGAGTCTTAAAGATTTTTTCCTGAGATCCTCATGAGGACTCAACAACCTTTGAAATTCAGTTCCAGTCAAAGGCAGAGATACACAAACTCGTAGAAAATGCCTTAATTTTATATATTTTTTACAACATCCAGGTTACAAATAGCTTTTGAGGCTGTCTGAACTAGATAACACAGTATTTATTGAGCGCTTAACCTCTTTTAATGATTTTGTAAATTAAATGGTTGCACTCTTCATTATTTACAGCAAGCTGTATTGGTAAAGTAACCAAAATAACCTTTGCTCTATTTTGCTTCTGCAAATATAATACTTTGAAACAAGTTGATGTAGTAAATACTCTGCTGGGAGTAAGTCTCATTAAATGTTTATAGTGTGGAAATGTATCAGAGTGCTTACTCAACAACTACCCTACTAAAGCTTTTGTTAAATCTTTCATTCTGGCCCACGGCTGGTTGTATGTGTGAAACCTGAGATTTATTGGTAGAGAAAATAGAAGTCGAATTAGGACACTGTACAGGCTTAATCGATTGATTTTTTTGAAAGGCCAGCTTGAATTATAGGGTGTTTCTTCTGCATTTGTGACTGAATGAGAGTTGAGAAGTGTTGAACTGTGGGTTAGTAGGATTTTGAAATATTAAGCAAGAAACTTTGCTGTTAAAAATGGCTTTGAATAATCCAAGTCCACTAAGACTTATTTCTCCTTTGCAAAGGGAAAAAGCAGATATAGTAGTTGCACACAAGAAATATCTGAGCCTTTGTGTGATAAAGATAATAACAGAAGGGATGTTTGTAGTATTTCCTTATTCTGAAAGAGCTCTTATATTTATTTTCTTATCTTTTTCTCTTGTGTATTCATTTCTGTATCATCAGCACCTAGAACAGTGCCCTGTACATAGTAAATACTAGATAAATATCAATGAATCAATAAATGGACAAATATAAAAATGCTGAATGTCATTTCGTGGTATTGGAGTAGAGTGCATTTTCCCCTTAGCCCTATTTTTTTTTCTTTCTAGCTGAAAGCGTATGTACTTGAGATATATGGCTTTACTTTATCTAACTTTTAACGGGTCCATGAATTTATAGTGAGGGAATATACCTAAAGCACAGCTAAGTGATATGCTGCTCGGAATCTTGTCTGTGATCAGGAAGTACAGAGAGAACATATATATACAGAGGGTGCCAAAAAATGTATATGCATTTTAAGAGAGGAAGAAAACTGTATTAAAATTGTAATATGCAATATATACTGACAACAAAAGGGAAATGTGATTTAAATCACATTGAGCACCTCTTATAACTGCAGAAATCAGCATGACTTAATATTACAAATTTAGTACAGTTTTTTTTCTTTTTTTTTTTTTGTTTGAGAGACAGAGCCTCAAGCTGTCACCCTGGGTAGAGTGCTATGGCATCACAGCTCACAGCAACCTCCAACTCCTGGGCTTAAGCGAGTCTCCTGCCTCCACCCCCCGAGTAGCTAGGATTATGGACGCCTGCCACAACACCCGGCTATTTTTTTGGTTGCAGCCATCATTGTTGTTTGGAGGCCTGGGCTTCAAACCCGCCAGCTCAGGTGTATGTGGCTGGCGTCTTAGCTGCTTGAGCCGCAGGTGCCGAGCCAGTTTTTTTTCTTTCTTAAAATGTGTATACATTATTTTGGTACCCTCTGTGTGTGTGTGGTATGTGTGTGTGTTTGTGTGTGTGTGTATATATATATTTTTTATTATATATATATATTTGTATATATATGTAAATTTTTTTCTTCTCTGAGTAGCTGTCCAGCCTTAGTCAAGTTTCTGTGAGACTTCCAAGATACATAACCTTTTACCAAGAGTAATAATTTTAAGGAATGTAGTCCTTAAATAGTTGCATTTTCACCTGAAGGAGAATCCTGACTTCTATAATCAGATTAACATTTAGGAGCTAAAAAATAAAAATGTTCATCCCTGGTGTCTATTAGCATGTTAATAAAATTTAAAAAAATGGCTTGCTTTCTAGAAATGTAGTAATCTATAAGAACTGAAAGTGATGGATAAAATATTTTTAAATACATAGCTAATCTGATAGGTGAATTAGAGAAATTCTTCATGGCCAGGTACAAACAGAGCACACATCTCAGCTATCAGGGCAGTGCCAGCACGGTGCTGGCAGCTGGGGGGAATTTTGTTCCTCTTGTGTCTTGGACCTTGAATTTTGAAGCAACATGAACTGAGGACCAAAAACAAATCCTGGACCCTGCCAGGTGGCAAGTTACATAAAAGACCCTTGGGTAAAACTGAGAATATTTAAAATCTGACCAGCTAGTTGCATAAATGAGAAAAACTCTAGTCCTTACTGCAGGAGATAGTGGGAAAACTTGAGTGGCTCATCTTTGGTCCTGTGTGGCTCAGAAAAAAGAACAGAATACATCTTGGAAATTTTCTAATTATAGCCTGTATTTATCTGGACTTTGGGTTAGAATTCATATTATCTGTGTCGCCTCTAAAACCCCAGCTGAAAATCTAATTTAAAGTTGTCCTATCCTGACAGTACCTCCAGAGACTTGCCAGAAGTAAACTTAAATTCTTTCTGCACTTTATACCTAACCTTCAGAAAATTCTCATGCAGTTTGAAGGAAGATGAGTTCTCAAAAGACACACAAATAAGCCATCCTGAGTGAGACTTCCTAGAAAGAACGAACCGCAGAATTAGATTTACAAACACTGCAGATACTGAAATTATGATACTGAATATAAACTATTATGTTTCATACATGTTATCCCCCCCTTTTTTTTTCATTTAAAGCAGGGTGGGCCACATGTAGCCTTCTAGGTTGTTAAGGGTGGCCTTTTGACTGAATCCAGATTTTACAATACAAATTCCTTTATTTTTATTGATATATTTTTGTTCATCTTTTTATTTTTAAAATTCCAAACAATAAAATAAGGTTCAATAGAATAATGCTCCCAGATTGACGAGAACAATTAGAATATTAGTAAGCGATAGGGCTGAATGGACAGCTGCTATGCTCACGATTTAGTTCTACCTTCCTCTCCCTGACTGGCACCATGACTGCCTGAGGCTGGTTGGCAGGAGTTTATGGGGGTAGAATACATTCATCTGTTATCAGCTTTTACAGTGGTGCACTATGATTCTATTTGAAGTGAAATTTGTGATACTTGCATATCTCAACAGTACTT